AATTTTGTATGTCCTGTTTTTTACTTTGGCTGTTCACCGCCCTGAGTCCTATTTGGAGAAGGGCGGTATAGAAATTGAAACAAATAAATAAATAAAATAAATAAATCTTGCTGATCATAAAGGGGTAATATGTATTTTAGGGGCATCATATGAAGACAACATTTTGCTCCAGTTTGTGCTTGGGGGGGGAGCATGACAAATGTGAACATTTATGTGGAGAGCATCTGGAAAGGATGAAGCTTCAAGCACTCAAGCTCCAGGTGGGATTGTCTCCTCCTCTTCCTTTCCAGAACAGGTCCTGGCCATCCTCTTCCCCTCCACTTGTATGATGCCTGCATTGTGCTTGCTTTCTACCAGTTTCGTCTGCCACAACTATTGCCTCCAGGCCCTGTTGGGGCAGGTCAAGGGGCAACTGCACCCATAATCCTCCAAGGAAACACCATTCTACCTAGCTTCCTCAGTCCCTGGATGCAGTGCACCCATTAGGCCGCAGAGACATGAAATGAAGTAGAAGTTAGTTATTTTCATGTCTTTCCTTTCCTTGAAAATACATCCAATAAATAACACATAACCTACAAATAAAACATAGTATGGATACTACAACATAGTAACTCTGAAGATACACCACAGATATAATTAATTGGCAACAACTGATTATTATCATTAAACAGTACTCAGGTACTATTTATCTGTAAAACTATGAAGACAATATTGAACTATTGGATGCCCCAAGTTTGCTCATATTACATCCCTGTTGTACAGGCTCATTGCCTCCCAGTTTCCTTCAGGGGTGCAATTCAAAGCACTGGTTGTCACCTTTAAAGTCCTACAAAGGCCAGGAACAAGATATCTGTGTGACTTCCTGTCCCTGAGAATATCATCCCATCCTACCAGAATGAATAAAGAGGACATGCTCCAGGTCCTTTCCCTTAAACATTGGCATTTTGTGGGCCTTTTCCATTACAGTCCCTCCTCTATGGGGAGGACCTCCTCCTGGAAGACTAACAGGCCCCCAATCCTTTTAATTTTCAGGAGAGCACTTAAAATGATAAATCTTTAAATGATAGGCTTTGGGATGGGACAGTGTTCCGACTTTAAAAACTTTATGAACTTCAACTCATTCTGGCTGGAGAATTCTGGGAATTGAAGTCCAGTCACCTTAAAGTTGGCAACTGGGATAGGATAGGGCAGTGATTCCGAACCTTTTCGGCACTGAGTGCCCAAACTGGATTGCATGCACAAGTGTGCATGCTGGAGCGCCGGAAACCCAAAGGCCAGTTGGCCAGTGCATATGTGCAGCCGGCCAGGTGGTCTTCGGGTTTCCAGCATGCACATGCACGCCAGCCAGCTGGTCTTCATGCACACTGGAGCACCAGAAACGCAAAGACCAGCTGGCCGGCATGAGCATGCCTGGTTTTTTTGGGCGTTTTTCAGGTCGTTTTGGGGGCATTTTTCGGCTGTTTTTGGGCCGTTTTCAGGCTGTTTTTCAGCCCATTTTTCAAGCTGAAAACAGACCCCCCCCCCCCAAAAAAAACAGCCTGAAAAACAGCACGGAAAACGGCCCCAAAATGGCCCATTTTTTGGTGCTCTGGCACTTGCGAAGATGCACGGCGGAAACCAGAAGAACAGCTGGAGACACTGTGCGTGCCCACAGAGAGGACTCTGCGTGCCACCTCTGGCACGTGTGCGATAGGTTCACCATCACGGGGATAGGGTTAGAGTAGGAGAGAATGTTCATTGTCTCTGGGAGGTATGGCTATATTGCCAGAATTTTTGTTTTGCTTTTTTTTTTTTTTTGTTATTGATTTTTGGTTTTTATTTTGAGTTATATTCTTGATTGTAAGCTAGCCAGAGTTTGATTTAAGTTGAGTAGCTATGCAAATGTTTTAAATAAAATCATATGAAATACACATTTTAATATATTGTTATTTTTATGGAGAGAAGGGGCCATCAAAGCAAAAGTGTCAATAAAAATCTTAACTTTTCTCTGATTGCATGGTGCAACTCCTTCCTACAGCTTTAATCTGTCCCACCTGGGTATGGAGCCATACTTCTCACCCTAAAGCTAGAGGGAGGAGGAGGAGGAGGAGTGCTGGTATGGGCAGGCCCCAGCTCGAGCTCATATAATGCCAAGCGGTACAAAATACTCCATGAGCCAAATGTTTAGGAATGTTGATATTAATGAGTGGCAGACCCTTGCTTCTCGGAGCAGAGAAGCAAACTCCAGCATTTGGGATGGAATCAAGCCACTTTTTCCATTGCCTGGCAATAGAAAAGAGATAATATAGCCTTAGCTGTCAGGTTGCCCAGAATGCTACTTTTCCTTCTGTATCTAATGCTTTCCTAGTTGATATAACAGTATGAAGGAAGTCTTTCTCCCCTTTTCAAAGGTTGATTGTTTTGGCATGGCGGATGATAAGAGAAACAGCAGGTGTATAAACTACTCCTTGTTCCATATCTTACATTGCCCATAACACCTCTGTTCTTCCATTTCACTGTCAGATATGGCAGTCCTTTTGGCTAGGATGTAATAAAGCTGAGGTCTCTGAGAGAAAAGAGGAGTTACAAATTTTGGTTGACAGTCAATTTTGCTGCTTCGCAGCCAAGTTGTATCTTTTGCAGAGAAGCTGCTTTAACAATCTAGATTCCAAAGTTTTAAGTAGTAATCTTTTCCAGACATCTTTTGAAAGCCTGAGGCACCTGCTTTTGCCATCACTTCCTACAATTCTTTAAATTATTATTTTTAGTTTGATTTCTGTCATGCGGATGAATTGCATTAAACGTCTCTTAATTACAGCTTTTCTTTTGTTAGTGAATGGCTGCCTTCCTCACTTGTCTGCATACTTAATGCCTCCTGTTAAGACAGTGGCCTGAGGCAGGGCAGGAAAAAGTCCTATTGCTGCCAGCTCTGGGCAGGTCTCCAGCCTCACCATTGATGTAGCCACTGTGGTTGCAACAGCATTTCTTTCCCCATCATCATGGAAATTGTCTCTGAATTATTTGTGCTTAGTTTGCTTATATTTGTCCAAGGCTGAACTTTTGTAAGGTTTGTGAATATTTTTTATATTATCATTGTGTTTTCCCGAAAGTAAGACCCTCTCTTATATTTTTTTGAACCCTGAAATAAATGTTTGGCCTTATTGCCATGCACTCAAAAGCACAATTGGGCTTATTATCAGGGTATGTCTTATTTTGGGGCATAATATAAAATAATATATATTTTAATATATTAGCAACTAAATAGTAACTTGAATCTCATATACTTTAGTCAATAAACTTGGTGAGTGGCTTATAACAAGAAAGTCTGTGATTAAGTATTTTTTTTCTTGCATTTATACCCCATCTTCTCTCTTATTACAATAATAAGAGCCTTGATAGTACAGTGGTCTACGCACCCTGTTATTAACACAGCTGCTTGCAATTTCTGCTGGTTCGAATCTCTCCAAGGCTCAAGGTTGACTCAGCCTTCCATCCTTTCTAAGGTAGGTGAAATGAGGACCCAGTTTGTGGGGGCAATAAGCTGACTTTGTATAAAATATACAAAAGTATGAAGGCTATTGCTTAACGCATTGTAAGCCACCCTGAGTCTCTGGAGAAGGGCAGCATATAAATCAAATTAAAAAAAAAATGGAACAGTTTGGAATAAAAGAGATTACAGTCATTAAGTGAATTTTGTAGCTGTTTGAGGATTTCAACTTGGATCTTCACAGTCAAAGTCTAGCATTCTAACTATTGAATGAAACGTCCAAATATGTTAGAAAAGGTGGTTTAAGTTAAAACAAGCCCTATTCAAAGTGAATGTCTGTCATTATTATACAAATTGCTCTTAAGCTTTATTACTTAACTACTATTGTGATTAGGTTTTGTCCATTGTAAATATAATTAGATATAACGAAGATGTCACTTTACCTGATCTATATGTTAATATAGTGGGATGATATAGGACAGTATTTTGCAACCTTGGCCATTTTAAGATTCTGGGAGTTGAAGTCCACCCATCTTAAAGTGGCCAAGGTTGAGAAACATTGATCTAAGAAGTTATGTTCAGACTGGTGTGAACTAGCTCTTCAGTCATTTCTAAAAGTGGACAATAAGCACCACTATTGCTTGCTAAGTGATTACTAGTTTGATTATTTTTAAAAATCACATTCTTTCATCTGCAGACTATATTGATACTATTCACTATCATTAATTCACTATCTAGACAATGTTACCGAATCCTGGCAAAATCCAGCTGTGTGACCTTGAAGTCCATACGTCTCAAACTCCCCAAAGGTTGAGAAATAACTGGTCTAGATGAAAGCTGCAGCCTAATGTGAATGATACATGAGCCAAAATACATACAGGATATATAATTAATTATACAACTTGTACGATTTATAGTGCGGAGATGGAAAATTGAGTTTTAAAATGATACCCTATCAATGAAACCTCAGTATATGTAGTGAAATAAGTACACAGGGAAGAAGATTGTGTCAGCCTTGTGACTTCAGAAACCATGAAAAGTTGGGCCTGTTTTAATATTTGGATGGGAGATCATCAGGGAATGCCAGAACTGTGAATTAGTTTGGGAAGTAGTACATATACTATGTACACAGTGAAACTACCACACTGAGAAAAAGACTAGACTACATTACACTAACATTTCTGAAGTATCACCATTCAGTGCCTGCTACAACATTGATATCTTTCAGAAATATCAGACTACAACTCTGAGAACTCTTGGACAGCACAGGAGTTATATTGTAGCATATTTAAGGTTGGATGTCCAAGTTCTCCAATTGCATATGTGTACTAGTTGGAGGAAGTGGATAAGACCCATGAGCTTTATCTCCTTAACAAGAATTCTATCACTCCATTCTCTTAACCTTCCTAGAAGTTTTGAGCATCAGGTTACTGTAAAGAAGTTTAAGTCGGCAAATGTTTTAATAATATTTTATTTAAACTCTTTAATTTTCAAATTGGTGTAACTCTTCTAAATACTAATCTTTTTCTTATAGAGATGCACAGCCAACCAACCAACGCTTCAATGAGCATGTCAACAATGATGTAAACCTACGGATTCAAAACCTCACTATTTTGGTCAGGAACATCAAAACCTATTACCAGGTATACATATGTACATGTATTTATCTGTAATACCATCTGCCAGAAAAATACTATAAAACATTTTGTGAAAAGAAAAGACTGGAGGAAGCTGTGTTTGCTGAAATTTTCAATTAATGTTCTGATCCTTGAAACGTGTTAAGAAAAATACTGAGCCCTATAAAAGTGCAGACATTTGCTTCTATCACCAGAATGATTTGAGGTAGATAATGTCCATTGACTAGTTTTCCTACTCGCCGTTCAGACACTCCTCAGTCTGGGTTACGATCACTCCTATTTGCACAGCTGAGTGTCAATCAAATCCCTCTGGAGCTGCATCCTCCTCTCTTCCTGCTTCCTCCTCAGACTTTTTCACTCAGCCATTGCAATAGCATCGAGTGTCTGTTCTCTTGATTGCATTTCGTTCTTATTTTACTTATTTCTTTCTGAATTGGCTAAATATTGTTTATTTACTGTCTAAAAGTGTTGCGCTTCGTTTGCCTTCGTCTGGGAAAGGTTAAAGCGCGTAGCGGCGGTTCGGGGCTCCGGCCGCTGCTTGCGGCTTGGCTTGGCTGGCGCTTTATTTTTAACGGTTTTCCCGCCATTGCCGCCATTGCCGCCATTTTGCTGCCAGTCACTTTGCGAGGCTCCGGTTTGCCTTAGTGGCCATTTGATCGAGCGGCTTGAGTCCCTGCCGGCTGGCATACTCATCAGCTGCCTTTGAGAATTGTGACTGCTCTTTTGCTGCAGCTTCAGTCCGGCCGCAGGCGCTGTGTTTCGCCTGGCTCAGGACTTCTGGAATTTCCCCTCGCGGGCCGCCATTTTGAGCCCTGATCATCGGCAACGTTTTTGGATCTCCGTGGCCATAGCGACCTGGGCTTTGGTTTCCAGGGTCGCTAGGTTGCTGGCAGGTGGGGACGCTGTCCTGATCGTACCTGCAATTCACAACGGCTTGCAGAGGGGTGCCTGAAAGTTCAGGGAAGTACACATTGCTTAAATTAATTTACATTCTTAATTAAAAAAAAAAGGGGGGGGGCGGTTGCCTGGTTATCTTGATAGACTGGTTGTGCTTGTAGATTTTTCTTGCATTTATTACAATTAAAATATTAAAAAAATAAATAATAAATAAATAAATAAATAAATAAATAATAATAATAATAATTATTATATAAGAGCATATAGATATATATATTACAATTTCTATTACCAATATACTATCATATATATAGAATTGATAAGTTCTATTTACAATTAATTCATTAATTAATTAATAATTCATTGGGGTGATTGATCATGGATGACAGGGAGGAAGGTGCTCTTTCTTCTGATATGGACAGGAGTCCCTCCCCCTCCCCAGTACCTTCCCCTAAACAGCTCAGGGGGAAGAAATCTAAGGCTACCAAGCAGGCAAAGTCCTCCAAATCTGCCACAGTAGATAAAGATGCCCAAAGGAGGCATAAAGCATTAGAAAAGCAGTTTGATAAGGCTAGGCAACGGGCCCAGGACCCTGGTCAAGGACCAATTCCTGAAGGCTTGAGCCATGAGGTGACCTGTGAGCCCTCGGCCTCTCATAATGTAGATTTGTTGCCCAGTGGTCTGAGGGAGGATGGCCCCTCAACCTCTCAGGAGGCTCCAATGCCAAGGGCCAGTGTAAGGTCCCGCTCCTCTAGTTTTGCAAGCCATTTTTCTCAAGCTTCTAGGCCAGGTCCTGAAGCTACTTTTACACCCACTGCAGCTGGCCTCCGCCCTGAAGCGGGCCCAGGGTTCCCTCAGCCTGTGGATTTTCAGTCCTTTTTTACCCAGGCCATGTCCCATATGTATCAAATGGGGTTGCAGCAAGCCTCTGGTGCCTTCTCTGCTCCTACGTGCCCCACTACTTCTGCCTTTTCCATGCATCCCCCTGGTGCACAACTTCAGCAGCAATCTGTTGCCTGTAGCCTTGTGCCTGAATCAGCCCGGGAGGACGATTTCCTAGAAGATTTTGAGATGTCAGAGGATGAAGAAGAGATTCAGGACAAGCCGGCTTTTCCGGGTCTATTTAAGCCTTCCTTGTTTCGCTCTCTCCTACGCAAGGCAAAAGCTGCCACTAATATGGATTCCACACCTCTTCAGGGCTCCTCTTCTTCTACTCCATCTGGCCCCAACAGTAACTTGTTCAATCTACCTCAACCTGATGAGGACTTTGTTCCCTGTCCGGATCTTTTCTGCCAGGTTGTTCAAAAGCCTTGGGACCGCCCCGCCTCGTTGTCGGGCCCGAATTCATTTGATCGAAAGCTTTATGCCTCGGCTCCTGCGCTGGATGCCCTCCTGCAGTTACCTTCAATTGATGATCCGGTGGCGAGTCTCACATCGTCTTCCATCCTGGTAGGTGAGGCTGGGGATGGTCTCAAGTTTGAGGACAAACGAGCCGAAATGGGATTTCGTAAAACACACCAAGCGGCAGCTTGGGCCATTCGTGCTGCAACCTCCTCATCATTCTTTAATCGGGCATCGCTGGTGTGGTTGCGTCAATTGAAGGACAGGCTTCCCCCGGAGGACGCACGATTACAGCAGGACCTGGCCAAACTGGTCGCAGCTGCTGAATATTCGGCTGACGCGTCTTTAGACGCAGCTAAGTTCGCTTCCAGGGCCTTAGCTTCGACTGTATCTTCAAGACGTCTCTTGTGGCTCCGTAACTGGAGAGCTGACGCCAAGTCCAAATGGCGCTTGACTGCTGCCCCTTACAAGGGCCCTGCCTTATTTGGCTCATCCCTGGACTCTGTGCTGGTCGAGAATAGGGATAAGAAGAAGGTGTTACCCACGTCTTTCCGACGTCAGGACAGGCGCTATGTTCCTTATAATCGACAGCCTTTTCGACAAGACCAAGGCGCCGGGGGCGCCTCTTACTACAGATCTTCGCAGTCCCAGTACCAGTCAACTTCGGACAGGGCGCCCTTTCGTGACCGCGGTCGCCGACAATCCAACTTCAGGCGACCTTTCAGACAGTCGGCGGGCCGCTTTTCCAGGCGCGGTAAGTGACTCACCGCCTCTGGTCCCAATCGGGGGCAGGCTCCAGGCATTCTCTCACCTGTGGCCATCTACCACCTCGGATGCCTGGATTGTCCAAACTGTCACCGAAGGGTTACGTTTGGAATTCACCAACATGCCACAGGACTTTTACCTTCAATGCCCTTGGCCACTTCAGCCGGAGAAGCGATCTCTTCTATTACTCGAAATTCACCATCTGTTGCAAATCCAGGCCATAGAACAGGTTCCATTGGATCAACTCAAAACCGGCTTTTATTCAACACTATTCCTGGTACCGAAATCCTCGGGCGATTGGAGAGGTATTTTGAACCTTCGACGTCTCAATCAACACATTTTGTACCGTCGGTTCAAAATGCATTCCCTCAAGTCTCTGCTGGGCTGCATTCGTCGGGGAGATCTGATGCAATCTGTAGATCTAAAGGAAGCGTACCTGCACGTCCCTATTCATCAGTCGCACAGGAAGTTCCTCCGGTTTGCGTTTGGAGACCACCATTTTCAATATCGGGCGATGCCTTTCGGCCTTTCGTCCGCTCCGAGGACGTTTACAAAGTTGCTAGCGGCAGTAGCAGCGTCGCTCAGAAAGGTTCCTGTTCGTCTGGCATGCTACCTCGACGACATTTTGATCCTGTCGTCTTCTCCCGAACAGGCGACCCAGGACCGGGAGCTAGTACTTCAGTCCCTCCAAAACCACGGGTTCACTTTGAATCTTGCCAAAAGCCATCTTATTCCCACATCGAGTATCCTACATCTCGGAGCTACAATAGATTCGGCACTGTGTGTGGTCTCCCTATCTCCCGACAGACAAGCCAGCATTCGGGAACTGACATCTCAAGTCTTACTACACCGGACTGTGACCTTACTGTCTCTCTCCCAGCTTCTGGGGAAGTTGATATCTTGCATAGACATTGTTCCGTGGGCGCGTTTCCATCTTCGTCGCCTCCAATGGTTCCTGCTCCCTTACCAGAGACAAGGTCGAGCAGAGTCTCTTCTCAAGGTAAAGGTTCCAGCTCCAGTTCGCCTTTCCCTGAGGTGGTGGCTGTCTCCGGCCCTCAACAAGGGTTCTCCCTTTCTCGAACCAGCTCGGATGGTGTTGACCACGGACGCAAGTCTGCGAGGCTGGGGGGCTCACCTCGACCGTCAGCTAGCCCAAGGTGCCTGGTCATCGGCGGAAAAGCTGCACAATATAAATTGGCTAGAGCTCAGAGCGGTCCGTCTCGCCCTGATACACTTCAAACGCCTTGTATATCGCCAGGACCTTCTGATTCTAACGGACAATGTGGCCACCAAGGCCCATATCAACAAACAAGGGGGGACCCGCTCCTGGACACTGATGCAAGAGACGGAGCGTCTTCTGTCATGGGCGGAGCTCCACCTCTCGTCGATAAGAGCCGAACACATCTCGGGGACTCTCAATCGAGAAGCAGATTGGCTCAGCAGAGACCAAATAGATCACGCCGAGTGGAAGTTAGACCCCAGCTTGTTCCAGGACCTGTCCAGGAGGTTCGGCCTTCCCCTAGTGGACCTGTTTGCGACGGCTCAGAACACCCAATTGCCGAGATTCTTCTCCCGCTATCCATGTCCAGCAGCGGAGGGGCTGGATGCTCTTCGGAGTCAGTGGCCCCGGGGCCTTCTTTATGCCTTCCCTCCCCTTCCTATCATCTCCAAGGTAGTGCGGAAGGTCATTCACGAACGGGCGAACCTTCTACTAGTAGCACCGTATTGGCCCCGTCGAGAGTGGTTCGCCGACCTCAAGAACTTATCAGTCGAACCACCGTGGAGGATTCCACCAGACAAGATAATACTGACTCAAGGAGCCATCCGTCATCCGGAACCAGAATGGCTTCGATTAGCCGTGTGGCATTTGAGCGCATAAAGCTCATCAAGGACAATTTGTCTGACGATGTTATCTCCATCATTCAGGCAGCTCGAAGGCCATCAACGATTCGTATTTATAACGCCTCATGGACTGCCTTCACGAGATGGTGCGGGGATCATCA